GGGAGTCACCGTTGCTGCAGTCATCGTTCCATCGTACGCTGTTCGTTAGAAGACGGAGGAATACTATCAGAAGTATTATTGTGATTTATTGTTATGACATTTATTCTTAGACTTTGTGTATCATAACCTTGTTGTTGGTTTCATATTGGTGCAAGAATAAAGGATAATAATATATCTTCCTATTCTCGAGTCACCGATCTGTGTTCTGTTTTTTCGCGTTGGTTATTGCACATTGTTGCTGTAGGTCTCTTAAGGACAGCGTTAGGTCCAGTGTAGTTAGACCTGGACATTGACATTGATAATACTGAGACTGGGTGTAAGTTGTGTATGATGCAGATCAACGTGGAGAAGTGTGGCCTGATATGCTGAGCTCGCCTTCCTATGCACCACACACAACTATATACGACAAGCCAATCACTGTCTTTCCTTCTATACTTGGTCTTGGGCTCCATTATTCTGCTGATTGTAAATTCTCTCTGTATGTTACTAACCAAGTTTCTAAAGCCAGAAGGTCACTTGGATTTATATTTCATTACTTTCAAGCCCAAGAATCTAAAGTACCACTGTATAAAATGCAGATACTGCCCCTTCTAGAGTACCGCCCATTTGTCCTAGACATCACCTCTATTAAAGACAAACTAAAGATTGAGAGTGTCCAAAGGAGATTTACAAGTAGAATTTTAGGAACAAGTTAAAAACTTCCCTACAACTATGGTTGCACAACTATTAAGATCGAATTGCTTTGTTCAGGTGCCAACGACTTAACCTCATTCTCCTATTCAAAATTCTCAAAGGAATAGTATACTTTCCCGATAATAACATTTACCTTACTAATTCAACGTATGAATTACTCAGCAACGGGTCTTCTCTAAGTCATGCTCTTTGTCGAACGAAGTCTCGTTCCAACTTCTTTACAGTTAAATATAGGCAAATATGGAACTTCTTGTCAAATGAAATCAAAACCAACACCACAATACAACGATTCACCCATCTACTAAATAAACATTTCTCCAAAAACAGTCTTGACACAGTTTGCCACATGCTGAAAATTCGTGATATTGTTTCTTTCTTCTTTGACTTACGTACCCAAACAGATCTATTCACTCAACGTTTTAGCAGAAACGGTCAGTATCATCATACTTATTTAATATAATCAACATTGCGCAAACACTGTTCTCAGTTCCATTTTTAGTTGATTCAGTTATTTACTTAGCCTCATCTCAAAATTTTCGCAATCCTTTCATACAAACCTGTAGTGGAATACACAGTCTAACATACTCACCACGAAAGCTGCACCAAATCTACGTGAATTACCCTCTCTGTGAACACATCTCCATCGCCTGAAGAAATCTGCCAGCCTCTGTCATACCTCTACAGTCACTAAACTCCATTTAACCCTGGCTGCTGACTGTCAAATTAATCAAATACTACAGTAAATATCCCTGGCGACGCTGTGCTATGGGCGTTTCACTGTGGTAAGAGTCCTACCTCAAGATCAAGTAATAAACAACCTGGATGTGACCGGGATTCAAATCCCCTCTGGTTACTAAATACTGCTGTGCGTAAATGCCATCTATGGCCACGCAAATTCCAGTTCTACAGTGGATCGTCTAAATAATCAGCTTAACTACACTGTGAGTCTTAAATATTAGCGGATTTTATTTTACTGTTCTGCTATTATAATCCTGTGTAGTCGGCTTCTTCTGAGCCATACTATGCATATATATATAATGATATACCATTATGCAGTGTTTTTCGTACGTTTTTATATTGCCCCCTTGTCTTCATATGTTTATATATTAAAATGTAGAGGGGAGTCTGCAACCTTCTAATTTCTTCACATTTTATTGTACACATATGTTTTTATAATGACGTAACAGAAGAGGCAGAGAGGATGGCTAACTGAAAGTAGTCGTTCATACTATGAATTTCATTGAGTTAGGTATTGAGTGAAAAAACAGTCCATGTGACACGCAAAAATTAAAAATTAAAAAAGAAGCGGTATTTCACCCGGTTCTAACACATAAAATGTTGGGAGGGTGGTGACTGGTGTCCAGCGGTTATGACGGCTGGGGCTCAAGATAATCATCCTTATCTGTGGGAAAGCCCTATTTCTAAGGCTCCTGAGTTTGAATAACTTCAAAAAAGACATGCAAAAACTGCCTAAATACCAAAGCTTGGGTATAAACTCTCTGAAAACGAGCTCACGGTATGATTCCTCTACTTTAGAAGGACATCTAACTGTTTAATTCAGAATAACAGCATAAATATTAATTAACTTTCGCCCTTTCATCTGTATATTTCAAGTACTGCGGCGTTTTAGTTTAACTCCGGCTTGAGTAAACATTCCTAACATTACCCTATATAGGTGGAAGCAATCATCATCATTCGTTTCTCTCTTGTTATTTTTTACTGCCATACACTTGAATTAACCGTTATTACGAAACACTATAAAATTCAATTACTACAAATTCTCGGTAATAAAAATAGGGGAATGGACCCTGCTTTTATCGCATATTGTTTGTCAATAAAATTTTGCTGGATTCTGCCCCTGCACCTCTCTTGCTGTTATCTTCTGTCTTCTCTTTCCCAGGGTACTGTATTGGAGCACTGCAAATGTACAGTAATGCTGCTTTCTACGTTTGCATTACTTGAACAGAGTTTTGTAATCACTACAACCTACATTTGGTAAATATTCAGAATATGGTTGGCACATATGATGAATAACGGAACAACCTCCATCATGGAATCTCTTTATCGTTGCAAAGTTGATCCCTTGTATCTACTAATACCAAAAGAATGCTGTGCTTACCGTCTGTTGGGGGGTTTTATAAGTTTGCGAACCGTTTATAATTGATTAACTAATAGTGATATTAAGTTATACATTCTGTGTGTCTTACACAGGTACCGTGTACTTGCACCATAATTTCTATGATACCGACAAACTTTGGGTCGCGATTTTCTCCATTTCGATCACCTATTTCCGTAACGCAAGGAAGATTTACTTCGAGAGTGGAGCGGTTGATTACATTCATTTGATGCCAGTGCTGGACGGATGACTAGTGAAATAAGGGTCGTCGTGAGATGGAGTGTAACTGGATAAGGCTGTGGAAATTCTTGTGAGTGGTCTGGTAGTTTCGACAACTCTTTCAGCATCCCTTCCGGTGGTAATTTGTAGGAAGGTGCAAGATTTCCCTGCACTGTCCGAGACAATCTTTGCAGCCACAATTATTTCAGGAATGTCTCGTAAGTTTTGGAATCAGCAGCTGGTTGACTCGTCTATAATAATAATAATAATAGTATATTCTCATTTTTGTACATGAGGGATGCCAGTTTACAGGCATCATCAATTCGATAAATTACACATACGATTAGTAAGTATAGTTATTAATGATAATATAATAAGGTACATATTTATTCCTACAAATGTAGGACACACAAGTTGTATAGGCATGGATAAGTATTATTTAGGTGACATATTTAAATTACATGATTTACGGTTAAATAACATGGTTGCTGTCATTTTATCTTTAGTTTGTGGGGGAAAATCGGATAACTGGTGATTCAATGGAACACATCAATAAATATAGAGATATTGACTTCGCATTAACAAAAAAAACCCAAGTATGCGTTGGATGGATTACATACACTTGGGAAAATAAATAAAGCTTGAAGTCAATTCCCTCATAAAACAATAAAATGCGTCTTACAATAATATATTCCCACTTTATGCACATGAGGGACTCCAGTTGACAGGCATCAACAATATGGTAATAATGCACACATGGAGTAAACATGTTTAAAATTTTCCACTAACACAAAATATATATACAAGGTAAGATAATGAAATATTGACCGTAAGTACACTCTGCATAAGTTAAAACAGTTTATATGGCATAATCCTAGGCACAATTATTGTTTGAATTTGTTGAACATGAGCGAAACAACTGAGTGTTGCGTTACATTCGGTCGATATGGTGGGCTAGTCACAAAAGTATAAAAATGACTTATAAAACGTTACTCAGTTTACCGTAAACGATGTTTTAAGCAATATAAACTGCAAACGGCTCACCACAGCAGTTATTATCCAGTTAAACATGCAGAGAAGTAATCATAATTCAGCAACTTGTGAATTTTTATTCTTTTCTGTCTGGAACCTGAGTAACTGCGAACCAATCCATACAAAAATGTCGAAAGAGGCATGCAGGAGCAGAATTTTGCCATTGAATGAGTCATTGGTATCTGAGATGCAGCTATCAGCATATTTTCGTCATTTCATAGATATCCAGATTTATTGACGCTGTATAGGTAGTGATTTGGATTTGTCATCATGATCGACATATGGACGAATATTCAAAATTGGAATACAACTTGTTTGCCTTTCGGATTTACTTAATTACATCGCGTGTTGGGTTTGATTGCTCTGCGATTTTGATATATTCCGCGGTGTCGCCGTGATTATGGGAAGTGTGCATATGCTTTAAATGCATTACTTTGTTGGCTGCAATCCCCACTGAGTGTATACAACGGGAACTGTGGATTTATGTATTTGCTCATAACTGTGGATAAAATATCGCCGCATTCCTTTTGGAAAGGAGACCAGTTGGTGGATTATAAATAATGTCCAAGTAACTTATATCCTTCCATGTGATGTTGTGGTAAGTCTCGACCTTGTTTTCTCATACTTCATTCATATGTTGATTATGGTTCAGGCTTTGTATCAGGTAGACATAATTCGATCGACTCTTATTTGTATGAGTGTTATTTTCATGACTGCTGCTTGTTTGTCTGAAATTATAGATAAAGGCAAAAGAAACAACAGGTGTAGTCTCTAAGTTCATACATTAAATGGGCCTATAATTTCTGAAGCTCTTACATGGGAATTAGCACTGTTATCACTTACAAACCCACTTAGTGTGTCATTAAGAGCTTTTTCAAAGGACACTAGTGAGCTTGCTAGTCGCATTTCCTCAGGTAGTTTGTTCCATATTTGGGCATACCTAATCATGAAAAATTTTTGCCTGGTGGCTGTTTTACATTGTTCTATAGCCACCGTACCTTGAGTGTGTCTAAGGTTATATCCAGTGTCTTCTGAAAACCGAGTACAATTAGTAGGGGTATACACTATGTGGTTAAGTAGTTTATAGAAGAGTACCAGATTTAGCCGCAGTCGTCTTAACCATAATGTTTCTAGTCCTAGAATTTCACATCTGGTAGAGTAGTTTGTGCCGTTTTCAGTTCCGATTACTTTCAGCGTGAAGTACCTCTGTACTCCTTCTACTTTTAGTTTGTCTTCTATGCGTATACTACTAAATATGAATGAACAATAGTCTAGGAGTGGGCGCACACAAACCTTGTACAGTAGTATTCTGGATTCACTTCTGTAGAAGTTCCTGAGTAGGAAACCAATAAGCCTGCGTGATTTCGATACTTGTTTCGAGATATGTTCAGAAAATGATAGATTGTGTGAATATGTCAGTCCTAGGTCTAGCACAGATTTGAGTCTAGGGATTTTGTGGCCCTGAATTGCTAGGTCGAGTTCTAGGTTGGGACAGCCTATGCAGAGCCAGCCACACTTTTCGACATTAAACTCAAGTCTCCAGGTGTCACACCATATATCCATTTTTGTTAGTTCTTCATGTATGGAGTTCATAGTTGTACCGATATCTGTGTTTGTGCAGGTATATGTCACCTTTAAGTCATCTGCATACAGTATTGGCTTGCCTATACTAAAGCACTCACATATACTGTTTATGTATATAATGAAAAGAAGGGGTCCCAATACACTCCCCTGGATGACACCACTGCTAATCGGCCTAGGCCTGGAGGTCATCGAGCCAATTTTTGTTGTCTGATTTCTGTCACTGAGAAATGATTTTATCCAGTTGTGGAGGGGGTTGCGTATCCCTAGTGAGCATAGCCTGCTGACTAATAGACTATGTGGGACTCTGTCGAAGGCTTTCCTGATATCGAAATAGAGGATAATTACTAGTTCTCTCCTATCTCTTCTATAGGTGACTTCGTTGAAAAAGTCTATATGGCAAGTGACGCAAGATCTTTTCTTAAGGAACCCGTGTTGTGACTGGTTGATGAGTTTGTGTTTTAGAAAGTAGTCTGACATTTGGTCTTTGATTACTTTCTCCATGATCCTTGATATAACAGGTGTTATATTGATAGGCCTATAATTACATGCACTAGTTTTGGTCCCTCCTTTATGCTTAGGTAGTATATACGTGTTTTTCCAAGTTTCAGGGTAGGTCCCAGTCACTAGTGAGAGGGTGAATATTCTAAGTAATAGTACTATCATATCCGAGCCACCGTTTTTATAAATGATAGATGGTATATCATCTATCCCACAACTACCGTTAGCTTTTAGTGTCTTTACCGCTGATGCTATATTTTGCATATTAAAGTTGATTTCACCTAACTCGTAGTTATTTTTGCAGGTTATATCGAGGATTGGAGACGGATGCGCTTTGGTGTTATTGGAGAACCATTGGTTTAGGAGTTCACAAATAATCTGGGGATCATCATAAATTATACCTTCATGCTCCAAGTGGCCAACATTATTTTCTTTACCCTTGTTTAGTCGTTTTTGCAGGATCTTGCAGAGTTCCTGAGTTTTAGAGGTGCCCCCTAGGGCTTTATTTTCCTCGAGTTGTGCCTTCATTTTATGTCTCTGCTCAAGATTTTTAAATGTTTCATGTATCTGGTGTAATGCACTAAATTCTTTATATAAATAAAATTTCCTTTTCAATTTCCTTAGTTTTAATCGCGTTTTGCGGTCTATGAAAAGAGTTGGTGTCCTTAAGGCAGACTTTAGGGGTGCGATTGTATCTCTTACCGAACTGACCGTCTTGTAGAAGGTATCAAGTGTTACTTCTAAGTTATCATTGGTAAAGTATTCATCCCAGTCAGATCTTCTCAAGAGCGTTGGTAGGAATTCCCAGTCGGCATTTCTATAGTCCCTATATTGATAGTGAACCGGGGAATTTTTAGGTGTGTGTTTAGTTATTAGTTGAAGAGGTAGGGTGCAGTACAGTATGTTGTGATCACTGTTGTCGAGTTTATCCCCCACCTCTATCGAGATCGGCTCTATTTTGTGGCAGAGGACTAAGTCGAGAATATTGTTATGTCGTGTTGGGAGGCGTACACACTGCTTCCATCCTCCTACATCTATAGCTTCTAGGAGCTCGTCATAGATTCTAGGTCCAGTGCAGGTATCCCAGTTCACTCCGGGGAGGTTAAAATCGCCACAAATTATTTTGTAGTCGAATTCCAGGGTAGGTACATGCTCTAGTATTTCTGCGATAACCGTATCAGTCGTTTTAGGGCTGCTGGGGGCTCTGTATATACATCCCACTAGAATTTTATTTTCATTCGTGTGCATGCTTATCCACTTAGATTCTGGGAGTTTGTCGATAGTTAGGTTTGTAAAAGTATTTGGGTCAGTAGATTTAGAAGCATATATTAGACACCCGCCTCCTCTTTTGTCCACTCTATCATTCCTGTGGATGTCATAGTTATCAATTATCAGCTTTGTGTCAGGTATATCATTAGTTAGCCAAGTTTCAGTTACCAGAATCAGTGTTGGCCGTCTCATGTATACCAAGCTGCGAAGGGAAGTTATTTTGTTAAGGAGAGATCGAGCATTTAAGAGCATAATTTTTAGAAAACCAGTTTTGTTGGGAGGGTAATTAGTGGGTTTTCTTGTTACTATCCCTAACTCCTGGTAGCCTATGTTATGTTCCGAGGGATTCTCAGATGAGACATTGTCAGTGTGTCTACTATTCCCTGAACAAATTGTGCTGCAAGAGGGGCTATTGTTTGCTGCAACCGAAAATAATCCTGTTGCATATATTGGTTTCTGGCATCATTACGTGGGTATCTGGAATCATTCCTTGACATTAGATAATCTGTTTCACTATTCAGATTGTTATTTACAGGGCCGAAATAACCTGTTTCTAGGTTGTTTTGAGGGTAGTGCGTGCCAAGTCTCTCGCAGTTGTACATTTGTGGACTCATTTCGTGCATGTACATAGAAGGACCGTGATTCAATCTATACCCGTTATGCTGATGGGGATTTACATAGCTACTATGAGGGTCCGAGTATGCATTTCCATCCATATGGTACCTAGTGGTGTCCCGTCTAGTAGCCCATGTGTTTTGATTATTTATTCTGGGTCCCGTTCTCAGGTTATATGAGCCCATAGGCATATTACAACCTCGGCTATTACGGAAATCGTGGGTCTGACCCTGTTGTTTAATCAGCTCGGCTCCTCTTGCGTGTCTGCCAGAGTGTGATTTTGTGTGGATAGAGCTATATTTGCTGTTAGTTTTGACCTCGTATAGTCTGTCATCCACAGTTTGTCTACCACCCTTAGTTCGACGAAGAGCACTTCCACCCTCGTGTTCCGTCTCCTTTATGGGACCTGCCGTAATGCGTGCATAGCTCTTTTTTAGGCTTACATGCTGCTTGTTGAGCTTGTCACAAGGGAGATATGTGGACGCCTGTGGAGAGACCCTGGTTTTAGGGGACTTCTTTTCAGCTTTTACAAGGAGATTACCTTGCTTGGCCCTGGGTGCAGTGTTATCTGCCGATATTTGTAGGTTATCTGTCACAGAAGCATCTATGTCTACCTCATGTGCGGGGTCGGTAGATTTCCTACGAGTGTTCTCAAGAACTTTGAGACTCATTCCAGTGTTACTGCCCTTTTTGGGTTTCCCTTCACCTTCGCGTGTCGCTTGTTCACCTAGTACAATGCAAGTGTCACTTTGTGCTTCAGTGTCCTTCGATACTTCGGCACTGATGCTATTCATGATTTGTGGTATAATCGTCTTCGTATCTAAGGTATTTTTAGCTACCTGTCGTTGGCTGGGGGTTTTGTCCGAGACTATCTTAACATTTTTGAATTTCGTGGTGGAGGCCAAAGTATCCCCAGATTTCCTAAATTGTTCTGCTATTATACAGCTGTCAAACCTGAAAAGTATGGGACATGTGCGGTTTAACTCTTTTTTATTTAGTCTGATACACTGACAGGGTGTACTTAAGAGGTTTGCAGCCCTTAACAAGGAGTGCTGAACCGACTTTATGGGCTCATTGTCAGGTATGTTGTACACTATGGCGTTCTGTTTAGAAGCAAGTCTCTTAACAACTTCGCTCGATAGATAGTCCATACCGTTCTCTAGCTCCTTAACATGTTCCATTTCAGCATCGGTTGGCTTAGTCTTCAATTTGAACAGTTTTAGGAAAGTGAGATCTCCCAGTTCTTTTTTAAGATGGAAGATTGTTTCTGGTACCGGGTCAAGTAGATTTAGTTTCGTCCTAAGGTCATTTATTTGTAGCTGCATGTCGTTTATGATAGAGACTAAGTTACTAATCTCTGCCTTTGCTGACAGGATATCTTCCACCTGTACTACAGGGGTTAGCATTATGTTGGAGGTATTTGTATTGGGTGAACTACTAATTATAGCTGATTTTAGGGGTGATAATACGTTACTAGATAAGCTTAAGCTATTTTCTAGATTACTAGAGTTCCTAAGAATACGTTTGTTAGAGTTTTTGCCCATTATTATTTGTGATAATATAGCAGAACTGAAAAATGAATATCAGCGAAAACACGTGCAAAAGTGTCACCAAATTCGAACGTACCGCATTTGTGAGAGTTTACGATCCCAAAGTTGATCGTCTCTGGAGAGATCCTTTTCTTTTTATTATTGGTGAGCAGGTGACAGTGTCCTGATTAGAGTCACTTTTAGACGATCATAAGGATTTGGTAAGGGGTTGTCAAGATCATCCAAAATGCCCTCACTTATTCAGAAGTATACACAGTGACTAAGTTAGATTTAGTTTCTTTTGATTGAATGTGTCCTAGGGCGGACTGGGCCTTGACTTGTGAGAACCGTGGAGATGGTCGATTTTTCCGAAAGGGAGGGAACTGCAGCGTACCTGCTATCTGTGCAGAAGAGTCATTTTCAGCCATGGTAAGATAACTTATATGATACATAGTGGTTGATAATGTAAAATAACATAGGGAAGTAATAATCATAAAATTTTATGCAAAACATGAAGAACAACAAAACCAGTGAAAGAAACTAAAATATAGACAAACTAGGCCTAAGATATGGCAAATAATGAGATTGGGCTTCACCAGTCATAAGTTACAACATGACAGCCCTTACTAAACGTAGTTTACCTAATTGCTCGATGAATCAGTAATCTACTTTAGTATAAGTGACAACACTTAAAGCCCAGCCACCAACCACTCAGGGTCTTCAAATTATGACACACAAACAAACTTTGACAGATTATACGGAATAAGTCTGCTGGGAATAAAGTCACAGTACAGCAATGCATATAACGAAACCCATGTAAGGTCTCTTGGAATGTCCCCACACAATAAGCAGATCAACAGGTCATGGGCATCACATGGCATCAATGATTTTTTATTTAACATATCCCTGTCGGCGCTAACCAAACAACTGGTGAAGATGTTAGCCCTTCTGAACCCGTACCACCAATATCGGCTCCCTATCGAGAAGAAAACGGACATGGGCTAGTACACACGGAATTATTAATCACATCCAATGCTTGTACCAGCATAGGCCAAATAAGAACTACCCAAGTCTCCAACCCACACATGCCTAGAACTACC